GGTGAATTAAGGATATTCCCTATCATATACCTCTACGACTGAAAAGGAAAAACTATTTTGAGTTAACCTTTTTTTTTGTATTTTATTAATGAGCTTTTCTGGAGACTTAAGTTAAATGTACTTTATTTCTTTGGGGTTTTTTTAGATTTCGCTTCCAACCTTTTTTTAATGTCGTTACTAAGACGTCTAGACTATAATAAATAAGGACTGATTAAATGTACAATGCACTATAATATCACTGAAAATAACTCATATTTCTTCTGTAATGAAATCAAGAATAATAATTAACTTGAGAGAAAACAGGTTAATAAAGAATATTGTCTGAGTGTTTTTCCCTGTTTTCAAGATTAACTATCTAACCTACTTTAATTAATATATACGAAAATGAAATTTGAGATCTTGTAATAAAAACAGCGGGTAGCGTTGATGGAAAAAATTTAATAAATATTATTTCCTTCAAACTATAACAATTGAAATATTTGGATTGTTGATGCATATTAAATATCCTAGCAGTGATTTGTAAAATCTCAAGCATGCTTAGCTATTACTATTTTTCTTTTCAACCATGAAAAAAATCTTTTTAATTCAATTTTTAATCAAGATTTTTTTATCAAAATTAAGTTCTTTTATTTGATAGAAATTTTTGCTTTATTTCGTTATTGGAAAATATGATCTTATTAAATCCGGATGCATAAAAGCAATGACTACCTTACTTTTAAGCAATGAAAAAAAAATTACATTTTCTTATTATCTTTTACTTTCCTCAAATTTGCATATCATTGAAAGAAATCACATTTTGCTGAAAAATACAGAAAAAACATGTATTATATTTATCTAAGTGTTATGATTTGGTGAAAAAAGAGAATAATTATTCTAATTTTAACACAAACATTTTTGATCCCATAAAGCATAATAGTTTTTAAAATTTCAAAAAAATTATTTTAATCAAGTTGTAAAATAACAAATGTAAAAATGCGTTTATGACGTAGTATTTAAATTAATAATGACGAAATAATCAATCATTTTAAGTTTTAAGACGGGATTATTTTAAAATATCTACAGTTAAATGGACTATGAGTGGAAATAGTTATTCTAAAAACAAACACTACTATAAAAACTGTTTCAGTTTTATTGATTCTGGAGTAATGAAGTACCTAAACTTTTTAATTTAAAATTTATGTGTTCTTAACTCAATAAAAGAAATAAAGTATTTATTTGTTGATAAAATTTCAATCATCATGATATTTCTCTTATTTCTGATAATTAAAATATATTTGCTTATATCTGGGGATTTTATTAAAATAATGTTACTCCTGAAATTATATTATAAAAAATGTCAAATTAATAACAAATTTTGCTTATTTCTTTCACTTTTTGTGTTGCAAATATACAACAATCTCGATATTTTAATTATTATTTATGTTTATTTCTAGGAAACATATGCTTTGATGATTCAGTTTTTGTCTAAAGTTACTACAGTGTAAAAGAATTGGAATAATATTGCTGCAAAACATACCAGCTCTAAGGATGTCGGTACATTTTACTGCAGAATCCATTTTTACCAGAGCATGTTACGGAACAAAAAATCTGATAAACCGTAAATTATACAGCAATAATTACCGTAAATTCACTGAATCACTCTAACATAAATGAAAATTACTGTAAAACTTATAGTACTAATGGTGGATTTTAGGGTAAAAATGAATTTTACGGAAAAAAAAAGGATTTCATGGTAAAATGGATTTTACGGATAATTCATCCAAAGTGCAGGAACTTAATATTGCAATTTAATCTGGAGATTTTTACAGTGTAGAAGTATTTTAAGAGTTCTAAAAATGAATAATTTATTCTTATTTTAAAAATTAAAATAAAAAAGCCTTAATGGCAATGTTCATTATTCGTCTCCAATAACTTAATTAATTTGTATAAGAATTCATTTCAACAAAATAAAAAATATTTGCTTAAGGAATTTAAGAATACTATTAAAAGCCTGAATGTAGTGAAGATATAAAAAGTGAAAAACTCTATTTTGAGATTTTGATTTGTTTGAAAGGAAAGTAAAAATTACCGGATCTCAGGGTGTTTTTTTTACACTTTTTACTGTAAAATCTATATTTACACCGGAGCATGTTACAGACTGGTTACCGTAAAGCACTCTAATTATATCGATATTGCTGTAAAAATTACAGTGCATACGGTGGACTTTACTGTAAAATGGAATTTATGAATGATGCAATCAAAGCGCCGGTACTTTATATCGTAATTTGATTCTGAATTGTTTACAGTGTAAAAGAAATTTAAAAATTTTTGAAAACTAGCAGATTTACTTAAAAAAAAAGTAAAATAAATAATGGCATATTTAATTATTCGTCTTTAATTACTTCTTTTATTTGTCTAAGAATACTCTTCAACAAAACAAAAAACGTTCGGTTTGGGAATTGAAGAATTTAATCAAAAGTCTGAAAGTAGTTAAGATATAAAAAGTGAAAAACTCTATTTCGAGAATTCCATTTGTTTGAAAGGAAGGTAAAATTCTTCAGAGCAGCCTTAAAGGACCTTTCCCCCAAAAAAGAAGGAAGTCGGTATCTTAGAGCCAAGAACACTTAAGTCTATAGCTTAGAAGATTAGAACATACTCGATGTGATAGCCCCTCCCTCGCGAATGTAAAACGGATTAACTTGAAGCCAACCGATGAGGTGTGGGCCCGGTTTAAAAGAAAAATCTTCTCTCTAGAGATTACAGTATACTCCTCTTTACGGTTTTTTTCCGTTAAAGAAGAACTTCGAGTATTTGACGTGCATTGAAGAAATTTCTACTTTTTTTATTGATTCGTGTTAAGAAAAATACTTCCAAGTTTTCTGAAGTTTTTGGGAAAGGGTGATCAGGTGTGAAAGTAAAGTAAAGCAGAGAAATACATCCTTCTGATTTTTCAAAATTTTCTATTGGATTACTTTTTAACTTTCATATTTTAGAGCGAAATGAGAGGGGGGCTGAGTATCAGAATTGGATGCATTTGTGATTTAAACTTTGTATGCTTTTACAGTACAGCTTTGAGAGTGTATATTTGGAACTGGAATTTCGTTGCTGCTTTTTCAATTTGTTTCCTCGAAAGTGTATTTACGATTTATTACAAAAATCAATTTCTTGTATCTTCTCAACGTAGATATTTGGAGCACAAAAAATAATTTGACAAGTATCGAAATGTTGCACCTGGGAATAGATTATCTTCAATATCCATTTATTTATTTATTTTAAAATGTAACATTTCTTACTTTCTTCGTTAATAGTTTTATATTTAGACTTAATTAATTTGAATTAAAATTATTATCTCATTTAAATTTGTTATTAAAACTTAAAGAAAGCATTTATTTCAATTTAATTTTACTGCATAATTTCACGCCAAATGAGCAATTCTACATCACAGTAATGGTTTTGTTCAATGATGTTGTCTTGATGATAACGGGTATCTGGCGTTCTCCATATGAAATTCTGTCGCAAATCAGACTGCAAGCTAAACCTGGACTAGTTGGAAAATATCACGCAAGCGCGCATCTGCGACGCTGTTCTCATTGTATGTTCTTTACTGCAGGCTAATCGCTGGACACAATGAGTTGCCGTGAACGCTCTAACATGCTACCGAGCATGTTGTGTATATATATTCAACATGCTACCGAGCAATATTTCTCTTCCATCTATACATGGTTTGCTTTGAAACTAAGGTAGCCGTGGACACAGACAATTGACAAGACAGGTTGAATGATGTACTCCATCTGCTCTTTTTGGTACTTGTCTTCATTCAGTGTTGTAACTCTGAGCAATCTGTAGTATAACGTCTACCGGCATTTATATCATCTGGGAATCGATAATAAAGCCCAGAGAAAGCATTTTTGACACTTTCCGAGGCATCGTATTCCAATCACGATCAAGAACCATGCAAAAACGTTATATCTAAAATATTGATTTATCAAAAAAAATTAAATTTCTATAATACAAATCTAATTTTTTTTAAATGTGATTTTAATTCATTTAAAATTCCTTGAAATCTTTAAACTTATTATTTCTCTCAAAACTATAGAAGTAATTTAATGAGTAAGTGTTGAAATACAGACATAATTTTCCAATAAAAGCTTTGAATGATTCAAAATTTTAATATTGTTAATAATAATTTTGGTTTTAAAAACATTCAAGGCATTTTTATTTTAGTAAATGCATAACTCTAAGTTAATGTCTATTCCATATCTCAATCTATAATCCACGCAGAGTAACGTGTTTTAACCATGTAGATTATTTACCATTTATATTATAACTTGCATATAACTCGGACGTTCATGACAGCCATATAAGATGTTTGAGCGACTTGAAAACCATCGGTAAACTAATTTTAATAATACTTTTTATAACTCGGACGTTCGTGACAGCCATACAAGATGTTTGAATGACTTGAAAACCACCGGTAAACTAATTTTAATAATACTTTTTATGACTCGCATATTCGTGAGAGCCATATAAGATGTTTGAACGGCTTGAAAACCACCAGTAAAATAATTTCAATAATAGCTTTTTTCAAAAAAGAAATCTGATTGTAACCAAATAGTGAACACTGAATTGAAAAAAAGTTAAAATGTTTAGCTTTTAAACTTATAATTTTTTTGAACAGTTTTACTTCTATATTAATATTTGAAATTTTCTTAATTTTCTTAAAGATTCTTCAGGTAAAATCCCTAGGTTTAGGAGTTTATCGAATATCTCAAGGGCCCTTTGATAAGCTATTAATATTTACCAAATGAATTGTCTTCTTAGTTTTTAATTTTTCAAAGCATATCTAGTTTCTCTATAAAAGCACTCTGTTATATAAAAATTTAATAATGGAACTTTGAACTTAACATCATTCAAAATACCCTTATTTGAGTAAACACGTAATAACTCTAAACTAATTTCTACTCTGAATCTCATTCCGTCGCTAAAATAGACCAAATCAAGCATGCAGATAATATACGTACCTTTGACATTCATGACCGCCGTATAAGATGTTTGTGCTGTCCCGGAAGCCACCAGGCATGTGTAATTTCCGGCATGGTATCGGGATACTGATGGTATCGTGAGTGATGAAGCGAATTCTCCCAAACTAGTTATGTGTATTCCATCTCGATGCTCAGAATGTAAGAGGGGTACCGAATCTTTCAGCCATAGAATGTTGATAGGGGATTCTCCTGCAAGGACAGTACACACAACCATGGTGCGCATCCCTTCCATTAGTTCGTCGCCAAATATGAATGGATTGATGACTGGACGTTCTGCAACAGGATAAATAAATAAGCTCTAGAATGAACTACATCCTAATATGCATCTTGGAGTGTTAGGTTTCGAACAATTTCATAATAAGTGCGTTCAGAAGATTTATGAGTAGTTATAAAACTAATGTTGGGAAGAGGTAAAATCAATGTTAAAGTAGAGGATGCGGTTGAATTTAATGAGTGAATTGGAATGAATTCAATTTAGTTGAGTTTATGGAATGGCTATCCATCATTTTGATGCATATCTAAAATCTAAATTTTTAGACGACTATGAGCAATATAAATTTTTTGAAGAAAAAATTCACAAAATAAGTGCATTTAAAAGATGCACTTGGAGTGTTATGTTTCGAGTAATTTCATAATAAGTGCATTTAGAAGATTTATGAGTAGTTATAAAACCAATGTTGGGTAGAGTAAAATCAATGTTAAAGTAGAGGATACAGTTGAATTTAATGATTGAATTTGAATGAATTGAATTTAGTTGAGTTTATGGAATGATTATACACCATTTTGATACATTTCTTAAATCTACATTTTTAGACGACTATGGGAAATATAAATTTTTTTAAGAAGAAAATCATAAAATAAGTGCATATAGATGATGCACTTGGAGTGCTAGGTTTCGAACAATTTCATAATAAGTGCATTTAGAAGATTTATGCGTAGTTATAAAACTAATGTTGGGGAGAGTAAAATCAATGTTAAAGTAGAGGATGCAGTTGAATTTAATGAATGAATTTGAATGAATTGGATTTAGTTGAGTTTATGGAATGATTATACATCATTTTGAAACATTTCTTAAATCTAATGTTTTAGACGACTAAGTGCAATATAAATTTTTTGAAGAAAAATTCATAAAAAAAAGCGTATTTAGAAGATGCACTTGGAGTGCTAGGTTTCGAACAATTTCATAATAAGTGCATTTAGAAGATTTATGAGTAGTTATAAAACTAATGTTGGGTAGAGTAAAATCAATGTTAAAGTAGAGGATGCAGTTGAATTTAATGAGTGAATTTGAATGAATTGAATTTAGTTGAGTTTATGGAATGATTATACATCATTTTGAAACATTTCTTAAATCTAATGTTTTAGACGACTAAGTGCAATATAAATTTTTTGCTGGTTAATATTATTGTAAAATGCAATCTCCGTAGTAATATTGTACTTTTAGAGTAAAATAAAGTTAAGGGGAAATAAATTTAAATTAGCTTAAACCCTTTACAGGAGACCATGGCGTATGTTTCCTTATCTGATATGATAACACGAGGGGCTTCCTATCTGTTTTAAAAACTAATTGTACGACGTTAAAGGAGAATTCAAAACATCACAAATAAGACACAATGGATGAGGTGTCTGAATAGAAGTTGGGGCATCTCGCTCCAAAATGTTTTGACTTTGCCGTTCGAAAGTGGACAAAAATGTTTAATCGCTTTTAATAACGAGAAAAAGTGGAGGTATTCTATCCTTCTTTTTTGTCATAAATGAACTTTTATGTTTTGAATTAGAATGATTTGAAAACAAAATTTTCATTTTAATGCAAAATGTTTTCCAATGCTGCACCGACAGTACCTTTGAGTCAGAGAAAGTAATTTTATTGTAATTTTCCTTAAAAAAATAAAAATTTATGAAACTTACATTCAGAAATTGAGAAATTTATTTTGTTCATTTCAAACATAATGATCGACTAAGAATGTTCCCTAAGTTTTCTAAAAAATCATCTTGAATTGTATATCTTTATTTTTTTAAGATTTTCAATTTCCTATTGTAGTTTGTTTTTCTAACTTACGCTTTTAAAATTCTGCTAAACTATGTATACGACATAATGACGTCATTACATATGACGTCATTATGTCGTAATGACATAAAAAATAATTACGTCACGTAAAACTGAGAACTGTATTATTTGAAAAGTTCGACTGTCAAGCATTTTTTTTTAACTTTTCGAAAGTTGAAGGAATTAGGAGTGTGCTCAAGAAGCTCTGAAACTTAGACCTCACCTATTGTTTCTGAAAGGTGTTGCTTTGTGTGAAACTCCGGTAATGAATAAGTTTTATCTTATTCGGATAGCAAAAAAAAACCGGGAATTATTTAGACGGTTGAATATGTATTTTGTATATTTATATAAGTTATACGCATGTTTATATGTTTAATATAAGATAATATGAATATCATTATGAAAATATTGAGAACAAAATGTTACAGATTTTATTCAAAATGCTGCGTATGATTAATATTTATTCTAAATAAGTCGGAAGCTTGAAAATGTTGGCACCATTTAACTTTCTGAAAAGGATCGTTGAAGTAAAAAAATTATTCTATGATGAAACTTTTCTTTAAATGTTCTTCATTCCATTTCCATGAGAAAAACTAAAAATCATACGTGAGAAACCGTCTTTCGAAATGTTGGGAAGTGTCCAAAAGTCCATTAGTCAATGTCAGAGTCTATTGGGATGGCCGATTTTTTCCCATTGTGCAACTTCTTTAAACTTCTTAAAAAATAGGAGAAGTTGTATAATAGAATTCCTTTGACGTAAACAGTCCTGCATTTTGGGTACAAAGCCAACATTTTATTACATTATTTGTAAGCCTTGACTTTTTTCTTAACGAGGTCAGGTATTTGTGAATGAACAGTAAATGCTTATGAATGCGTAGACATTTTTCAAAGTTTCAGTCCTAATCGAGTAAGAAGGTAGATTAGTTAAAGATGCCATATTAAAATGTCAGTTAAATGGATATCTGCAATTTAAAAACTTTAAATAATACTTAAAAACAAAAATAATTATTTTGCTTTAATTTGTACGTATTAAATTTTAAATTGAATTTTCAAAAAGTTAAATGATTTGCAGCACGAAAATTTTCCCTTTAACTTATATAAGGTATTGAACATTAATTAATTGTGTTATTTATAAATAAAGTTCTCAATATTATTAATCTTCCTGAAGATTAAGTTAAAGTTAAGTGAAGATTAAATTCCTGAAGATTAACTGTTGAAGGACCATTGTTTTTTCACACTATTGTAGCATATTAAGAGAAAGGCGCAAGAAGAATTAAGAAACATTTAGAAATTAAATTTCCTTCATTTGAATTTGCGAATCAGAGAATGGTTTAAGAGCTTACCTTTTAGCCAAGATTTGTTTTTGTTTTTTTGTCAAGCTAATTTCTTTTCTTTTCCTTAAGTGCTACGTCATTAAATTATTTGATGGAATAATCAAGATATCACAATTATTATCAAGGATTCAAACTATCTACATTTTGAATAATTGTACAGTTTATTATTTTTCAAACATCTTTTAAATTGCTTTTTTAGACTAAATTGAAAAAAAATTCTTGTTTTTAAAATGTGTTTTTTTAGAATTGTAAGAAACTCGAATACCTTTGGTGGTAAAATAGTGAAATTTTTGATTTAGATTTGTTTTTCATTTCGAATACTCTAAAACATATTATAAGTACAAAAATAATATAATTTTTTCTGGAGAATAAGACAGGAAAACTTCCAAAATCCCATAGCTCTGTAGAAATTTATTATTTTTTCATTATTTTTGCTTTATAATTTTTATAAAAAATAAACTTAGGAAATAACCTACGCATTAGACATAATATAGTTATTTAGATCTTCTTACAGCAAATATTGATACTTATTTGGGAAAAGAAGATCAAAAACTGCCATTAGTAAATTTTATTTTTGCAGTAAAATGTAAAATTGTAGTTTATCAACTAATCCTTAGTCGATTGTTTAGACATAAATAAAGAAAAACCATTAATGCAAAATTTCAAATAATTCAAACTAAAATTCAAAAAAAAAAAATGCATTAAAATGGATACGAACTGGAAGTTTAGTTTTAAAGAAAAATGCAAAATTGCATAATTATCAATATAATAACCAAAATAAATGATTTCTTAAATAATCATAACTTCTGTTCGATTTGACATAGAAACAAAACTCAAGCGGCTTTCGAAAGGGGAAAGTTAATAGTGTTATTTTATATAAAAACAGAAAAATTAATTTTAATTCAAAATCTATCATTGAAGCAATCAAAAAATAATTATTAAAATAAAAAATTATTTTAAGAATTATTTTGATTTATTTATACGTACTGAACTTATATTAATCATAATTTTTGAAAAGTTGAAAATTAAAATAGTTTCGAAAAGTTTTAGATGTACGTCATACTTTCGGATTACAGTACGAAAAATGTTTTCCTTAACTTACATAAGGTATTAAACATTGTGTTATTTATGAGTTAAGTTATTAGAATTATAAAGCTCTCTGAATAGAGGTTAAAGGACCATTGTTATTTCACTCTATAGTAGCATATTAAGTGAAACGCAACGAAGAATGCAGAAACATTTAGAAAATCAATTTTTTCAGGAGAATTTGAGTATCAGAGAATGATTTGTTAGAGCTTACCACTTAGCAATGGTATCTTAAAAGATTTATTTTGTCAAGCTAATTTATTTTCCTTAAATGCCATCTCATTAAATGATCTGACGGAATAATCAATATTTCACAATTATTATCAAGATTTCAAGCAAGCTTCAGCATTTTAAATAATTATATAAGTTATAATTTTTAAGCACCAGTAAAATTGCCCTTTATAATAAACTGAAAAAGAAATATTTTTCTTTGTTTTCTAAATGTGTTTTCTTTTTAGAAATTTTAATATACTCGATAGTTAAAATTAATTCGATTACCTCCAGAGTTAGGAGTTTTTAATTCAGAATTTTTTTGGATACTCTAAAACATGGTATAAATGCAAAAAAAAAATTTTTTTCGAAACCCTGGAAGGAAAACTTCAAAATCACATAGTTTAGGTGAAATTTAGTATTTTTTTTTCATTATTTCTGCTTTATAATATTTATAAAATCTGAACTTAGGAAATAACCTAGGCATTCGACGTAATATCCTTTTTTACAATGACTGCCTGTGGGGTGACCTACGTCATACAAACATCTGAAGGGCAGATATGTTGGTCACTTTTCCAGGGGCACCATATTGGATGGGCCAACGT